CCCCCCCCCCTTGCCGCATTCTTAACTCTTAACTCCCACGTGCTTGACCGTTGTCTAACATGGACTAGGATCCGCCACGATCTCTGATGATGAGCGCGCCCAAGAGCGCCAGGAGAACAGTGGATCCACTTCCTCGACCGCTTATGACCCGGACAGCTACAGCAGCTCCATGATGACTCTTTTCGACGAAGTCATCCGACAGGACTCGATCGCCCAACTCAAGGAGACGACGCGGTACACGTCACCCGTGGTCCGGGCAATCTCCCCACCCCCGCTGTCCCCCAAGGGCAGCTATATGCCGTTTGCCCCCGAAGATTTGACCCGTGCGTTGAATGCCGTGCAAATCTGTGGTTAAACCGACTTCTGGCCAAGTCCAATCACTTTTCAATTCTTACGTCACGTGAGAATCCGACCACACGGCGCTTACTACTCGAACCCTTTCTCATTTTAATTTCCGACGACCCTGGTGTGCGCTTCCCTTCTTCCCGCCCTATTTCACCCGAGTAGTGTGACGGATGCTCATGATTCGAGACGACCCGATTTACGAGGACCACTTTTTATGCGGCTTCGACGCGAGGGGCAAATCTTAAATGCCCCCCAAAGCTGGGCCTCCACTGCCTTCACGCATGCAACGAGCGATGTTTTCAAAAGCGAACGGTTTTTCCGTGTATTGTCCTTTTGAGCGTATACCCGTTTCGAGGTTTGAATTTTCCCCCGGTTCCCGGGGTGAGTTTGTACTGTACGTACATGATTATTAGACGAATAGAATCACTGTACCAACAATGAGCCCTTGCTCTTGTTTATTTCCGCGGAGTAAGCCCAGCCAAGCAAACGTAAAGAACATACGTAAACGAACCGGCTTTTAGACTCTTCCCCTCACCGGAAAAGTCAAGCTTCCAGTAAAACCATGGATTGTCAATCATTCCCGCCAAGACAATAGACCGACAATCGTCTCGACCCAACGTCGATCCGCGTTACCCGGAATGTCAGTCACGCGATTGTCACTACCAATGAGATGAAGACCGTTATCGCATTATTGGCCTGGCTTTTGGGACGTCTGGCTTGATCGTCGCAGGGGTTGTGGAAATAGACTCGACGTCGTTGCAAGGTTAACTTTATGCTTCGTTGCAACTTTCGGCTGATATCGGATATCCGACTTGTCATGTTCAATTATGGAGTAGAAACTTTTCGGCTTGTTCGAAGGTTCCCTTTTTATCCTTTCCACATTTGTCGTGAAATGACGTACACCTCTTAAGCATATATTGGCAACAAGATCCATGGACTTGTGTTCTTGTGTTGTGCAACTTCCACCCGTTGCCGATACATAAATGTCGCCGCTTTTATGATGACAGCACGTGAACACCCACTGATCAATATTTGTTCACAACAGAAATCTAAGCCCTCAAAACCTATAGTGTAGTATTTAATAAGAGTATATTACAAACCAAAAGCTACATGACATCCTTACTACCTACTCACTCTATACTACTGACTGGCACTCAGTACTCACAACTACCACCAAAAGTGATCTCTATGTACAATTATTCGATTAGTATATATATCAACTAATGCATAGAGATACACAACGTATATCACTACCAGAGAGAGTTCCAACCCAACCAAAGTTTCTGACTAAACAGCTTGTAACTGTAGCCCTAAATTTAATTACGGTAATTTCTTTTCGTGTGAATTTATTGTCTACAGAGTAGAATTGCAGCAAGTTTGATACTCTTAAGAGATCATGATTTGTTGGTAGGGCCGGAAATATGGGTTCTCCCGGGGCCGCTAAACGGGCCCACAACGCTGAGCAAGTTAGAATAGCGAGCTTAGATAGTCAGCTAAGAATTCAAGCATGAATATGAAAGGCCTCCATTTCGCCCACTGAGATGATTCATGTCTCTACCATTTCTTAATAACAGTGCTAACAACAATTGTATAAATCATTTTAAACTATTTCTTATACATAACATGTAAACTAAGCCCTCAAACATATCCTGTAGTATTTCATAAGAGTATATACTTATAGACGTCGAGACGCCCGCCGCGCCATCGCCCGGAGTCCTGGACCGCTTACAGTGCCAGACACGCGCCGCTTCCGTTGGTTGTCAACACATCAACTTGATTAGTAGCAATGCACATTGCATAGTACAGGTCTATATCACTGGCCTGTCGTGTTACCGGCACGGGTAGGAAGACATGGTCTCCCCAGACATGCCTAGAGTATACTACAAAATCCACCAGCGGGCCCGGATGCCAGGTTTACCTGGACTTGGCCGAGTACTAGGGGTACAGGCCTAACGCAGACGGAGACCCGGACTGGGTGTTTGCTCTCGGTTTACAAACTTATTGAATTTGTAGTATCCATTTAAAGATAATGGCATTGGGTGGCAGGTGGCGTGCATTTCAGTCTTAGCTTGACTTTCTGTAACCTCGCGTCTTCTTTCTTTCTCCATGCTTATATAGCTTATAGAATGAAAAATATCCCCCCCCCCCCCCGGCCCCCCAACCACTACTACCCAAAAGATTCGATAAATCACGGTCCTACTTTAAGGTTAGATAATGCATAATCAATCAGTATGAAGTTGATAGTAGTGGAAGCCGGATATTCAAGAAAATGGCTGTGGTAGACCGGCAAACGCAAGTCGAGAAAGATCCGCGAACTCCCCTGAGATCCAGCAAGGGTCGTCAGTGGCAGTCATGGGGGTCTCCAGGCCTTGGAATATGTCGCCAGCATACACCTCCCACAGAGCAAGCCTTGGTGACAGAGAATTCGGAAATGGAAACAAGTCGCGGAAGCTGAAGATGTCATAGCCTTCGCTGAAGGAGACGTTTTCACGCGACTCATACATTGTTGTTGTCGTATTCCGGACTCGACCACTGTTGCGTGACGCGCGCAGTCTATTGATCGCGTTCAATACCACCGTTGCCCCGGGAATTCGTGCTTGCACCTGATCCAATGACGACACAAGCATGTCCAGCTCTTCCGAACAGTAGCTATCAGATTCCGGCAGTGAGCATTCAGCGGCGTTGTATAGAAGCTGTGGCATTGCAGCTACTGTTAGGAACCAGTTTTGTATACCAAGAAGATAATTGAGGTCATCCCGACAGTCAATCTCGTGGTATAAGCGGGCAATGCATGAAGAGGCGACCAGAGATACAATGTTCGGCACCGATGTAATGTCATGGTCGTTGAAGAGGTCACAGTACAATATAATGGTGGCAAGATACACGATATGTAATTCGAAAACATCCCGTCGGTATGTTCGCACACCGTTGCGGTCGAAAATGTGAATAGGGACCGGAAGATTGTGGATCCAATCTTTCAATGTACGGAGGATATCTGTATGCTGGTCATGGCAGCAAGAGTAAGTATGAAAGATCCGTGTCATATCACATCCGCATGCTAAATGACGCAAGGCACATATACCTGGGTTTGTATATCTTTAGGAGACCGCCATCGGAGGTCTAATATCCTACCCAGAATGCTTGCTATCTTGGCCAGCTGCATGAAAAGCAAGGGTTGGATGCCAGGACACTCGAAATCTTCTTCCACCAGGGGTCGAGCATCAAACTCATTTTCTTTGATGCACGTCGGCCTTCCAAATGCACCAGACAACAGTTTATCTTGTACCTTGATGTGATGAGTAGGAGCCCGTGGGATCCAGGGGGGATACGTACGAAAAGGCACCACGCAATCCTGCGTGCGATTCCCGGACTAGCAGAGGCAACACACATCTCTTCGCGGTGTAGGCCCATTTGTTGCAACAGTCGTATTGCTATCCCCAACCAATGCCATGCACAATCTACGGTCAATAACACCGGACCAGCGATGTTGCGGGTGGCCAAAAGACACAAAACCTTCAGAACGGTCATCGGGTCCTGCTCGTGGTTGGTGTGGATGAGGGTCTTGGCGTTGTAATAATATTTCTCGTTCTCTGACAGAATATCCGGTCCTTTAGGATATCGCAGCATAGTTCCCACCATACAAATTGCTTGCTGAAGAGCGAGCGACGCTCTGTCGGGAGATAGGTCGGCATGATCAATCACGGGAAACTGATGAAAAAGGTGTTGGAAGTAGGCGTCCATATATGCATTGAATAAAATTGTAGGTGGGGATGCCGTAGGGTCTATTATCGTCAGGATCTCCTGGTTCCGGCTATTGGAGAAGGCCATGATCCGCTGATAGTTTGGGGGAATGCTAGGAGTATTATGCATTATATATGTCATTGCACCAAGGTACTGTTTATGTAACGCTTCTAGTGCTGGAGCTGAAGCTGCAGCTGCAGCTACTTGGGCTCGTTGCTCGCGAGTGATGGATGTTTCTGGAGTCGTGGGCCTATCCAGCCCTTGAAGAGCTGCTCCATTGGGCCTAGGAGATCCCAGAGCTTGCTTTGCATATCTTTCCTTGACAGTCGCTCTTCGGTTGGCGCGAGGTCTTGGAAAATAATCAGCAATCCTGTAGCTATCTCATCACCTCATGACCCCCTTACTGGCAGGCTAATCCATGCTTATAACAATTGGAACAAGTGCCCTGTGATCGAGTCTGCAAATCACACTTTACCTTGCGTGCGTGACAGTGGCAGCATACGATCCTTGCCCGATCACGGACACCATGAAGTGGTTGACCTGATGTGGCCATGATGACCAGAACTATGATGTGATGTGAATAGTACAGGGTATTCGGAACTCTAGTGATTGATAATGAGTGCAACGGTCGCTAAATAATAAGGATGGAGCATAGTGGTCAGGCTGAAGCGTATTATCAATATTTGTAACCGAACTGAGGGGTGACTGATGCAATATCCACCCAATCCCCGTTCCCTGATGGCCAGATACAGGACATAGCAAAAAGGTTCAATATCGAACCAGAATGACGAATTACTTAAAGGCCCCTCGTATTGGTCGTTCCCGTTTCCCTCCATTTTAGTCGTTTTTATAGGTTTATGTCAATTTTGGCGTAGGCAGCAATTTGAACCATTGTGTACTCCGATTATCGCAGCACAGAACCCACCCTTCCATTTCTTTTACTATCCTCACTGCATACATATGGGTATTTAAAATGCCGTCTGTTGATTCTTCTTCCAATCCATCCGCTCATGCTGTTGGTTACGCCTGGGTCTAATTCGGCAGCTATGCATGGCTTCCTACGCGCGCGAAGTGTGGAATACTACCAAGCCACGCAATCATTGATCGGTATTAACCAATCAATTTACCACAGGTAATGCTTATACGACGACTATTCTGTGCGACCAGATAGTAGTTCTGGTGGCTTGCACGCGCAAGTGAACATGTCTTTTCCCCCGCAGGGTCGCCCCGCGTTCCAACGGAGGCTAGGCTCGACCGAGGTAAAATATCGAAGCTAAGTGAGGATCATCGTTGATCAGAGGTCCGGGAGCAGCTCAGCCACCACCGTTTCTGCTGTCGCACCGTCTGGGGTGTTACCAGGCGTACTGTTTATAGCATCCAGACTACTTGCTATGACAGCCGACGACAGCCGGACAGTACCGAGCGGGGTCACGCGAGTTCAGTTAACACTGGTCTCACCTCTTCTTCTTCTGAATGAGCGACCTCTTCACAGCGCCTTGATACACATGTTTCCTTCCGTTTCTTGGGTGGGGACTTGTAAAAAAAAAAAAAAAGAGACAGAAATAAATAGAATTAAAGCGAATAGAGCCAAGGAAAACTGCTTTTTGACGAATGTTACCGGCAACATGCAGAAGGCCTGAGTATCACAAATGGATGCATGCTGTCTATTTGACACGAAGATTGCCTGGCAGCCTCCCCTCCCCCCAAGTAATATTCACCAGATTAACTTTTACCTCTTCGGAGATTCTCAAGACAAGGTGCAACGAAAACATCACCTCGAATGATGCCGCGGGAAGTGTAGTAACTAACCAGCAGCCACAGAATCACAACCGTGACGGACAATATCTGACGTGCGTCAGTATTAATCATTGATGTCTGTGAGGTAAAAGGGTGCTTACCGTCCCAAGAACGGAAAAAAAGCGCGAAGGTAGCTCCTGGCCGATGTTACAGGTGGAAGTGGTAAAAACTCCCAGTGGGAAGGTCAAGGCCCACCATCCCATGTTGAAAGGGAATTTCCTCGTCTTGATCAGGGCTGCAACTGCAAAGGAGAGCCAAACGACTCCAAATGCCCATAGTAAGATTCCGATCAAAAATCCGACGCTATACAAGATTTCGCCAGTCGAGGCACTCAGGGTACCCGTCTTTGGAAAGATTGTCTGCGCACTTCTCCCCAGCCTTTGGATACTATAAAGTTTCATCAGAAGAGAAGATGAGTACAACTCAGTGTCGGGCCAAATTTACCCAAAACTGCCCTGTCCCAGGGGACCAAGGGGAAGAAACACGCTGACAAGCATTCCTTTTGGTGGAAGCTTGTGAAACATTAGCCGCTGCAAATAGATACAGATGACCATCATCGCGAGAGGAACACCGATTCCCCACAGTGTATAGCTGGCCAGGATGATACCAAGGGCAAGTTGTGCGTCGGGCAGAACATCTGCCACAATGGAACCCGACGCCGCCGCAACCACACACGAGACAATTGGCAAAAGCCATGCGGCAGTCATAGAGGACAGATCGAGCCCATTATTCCTCGTTATTCTGTGAATTGGCGTTAGCAGAGACGCAAATACAACAAGGGAGAGGGGACCAATACAGGAGAAACGGTATTCCGATAGCAATCAAGACCGATACGACAGCGTCGAAAATCCACACGCCACAAATAAAATAGGCTGCACCATCACCCCATTGCGATACACAGACAAAGCAAAACATATTAATGATGGTGGAAAGCGCCATTGGGAACGTACCTAGGAAGAGCGATTGAACTGGATGTGTGACCATCACCTCGAAAATTTCCGGGTACAAGATGTAGCGGAGGAGAGTAATAGTCAGAAAGACCGTGAAATATACCACATTCAAGATGAAAACGATGATGGAGATGTAGTAAAGCCACTGCCCATTGTAAGGCAGAGTGTTGAGGAGGATAGACACGATTCCTGTTCCCATATTAACAGAGAACCAGCTTGTGTCACAGTTAGTCGTTGATCCTCCAACATTGTCTGTTGCGACTCACGATGGCGTAAAGTTCCGGACAACCTTTCGCCAGCCGACATTGTGTTCCGGTCTCTCACCAGGTGCTGGGATTTCGGCCGGTGGCATCTCTTTCTGATCGGGACCCTGTTGGGGTTTCACGAACTACCGAGGCGACCTGTTGGAACATAGGAGGATAGACTATATTGGTCAATAGACCGCGATGGAGGCAAGGCGAGAGGCAGGAGGTAACGAGTTTAAAAGCCTGAGCAGAACTGGATCTAGGCTCATGGGCGTATTTGTCGAGGGCTATTCGACAATGTCGGCCGAAAAGAATCTACACGGAGATGTGAGGACAGAGTATGCCGGCAGTGGACGGCACACCCAGTCGCCGAAATCATATGTGCCGGTTCATTCCCACCGAACCAATGGGAACGATGTTGATCAAATACCTACCGCTAGGGCTTTCGGCCAGTGCGTTAAGCTGGATCAGTTTAAGTGCTTCAGCGGATGACAGGCTCGACACGCAGTCACTATGAATGACTGATGCAATAATTACATTGCTTCATTGCATACTTATATGCTATGAGCGAGGACCATATCAAGAGTCAAGCCGACTAAGGGGAGTAGGTATTTTGGCCATGCCCTAGATTAACTGCCTCTGTAGGGTGTCAATGCTATCTGGCATGAGCGTAACAATGGCATCAATAACTTCCCGGGCATTTTTGTCTTTCCTAAGATAATGATGGAAGCTCACAAGCTGCATATCAGTTAGTTTATTATCATTGCCCTATCTTACATTTAGAGCTGGCCCGTGGGACATGGGACATGGGACCGTCATTAATCACGTCTTTTGTATGGTAAGGCTTACAAAAGAATACTTCATCGTGAATGTGTTGTATGATTACTTCTGTTACCCGGTTGCTTTATCTCAGTTGCATGCTTACGGAGTATCCGCGGCCTGCCCGGAAGATTCCAGGCCTTCCTGCCAGGAAAGAATTAACACTCCAACCAAGGCCGTGAAGACTATATCTCTTACCAGAAATAACTGCGTATTTTAATCGTACTCTTAATGGGTGAAGTCCTGTATCTGCGACCTCATAAACATGCTTTGAACAAAAGACCTCCCAACATCGGGTTCAACGGGAGACCTCAACAAGGGAAATATTTGAAAATATAGTAATATTCATAAGACAGTTGACTTTTTCATCGGATCGTGAGAGACTCTAGCTTCATGGATATCATACATGACAACAGCTACCCGATGCCCTTCTCAGAATTGAGCGAAGGATTGAGTATATGACTTTCACGGCCGTCGTCCCCTGATACCAATTAGCAAAAGGTGCTGCCATTCCGACGAATGAGTCTGAGAAAAGCCAGGCATTTTTTTTTTTTTTGTTTCATAGCGTGTATTTAAATCCAGGTAGCTCTTCCAGAACGATAGCGCCAGTGGTTGCCTTCCTATTGAGAGCATGCATTCGTAGCATCAAAACTACTGAAATGACCATGGTGATAATACTTGCTCTAAATCACGACAACACGAGTTAATTTTCCAACGAAAGCATCGAGGAGACCACATCAGCACTTACACAATAGACGCGATAATTCCAGGCCGATACGTAGGCGCATCCTGAGAACGAAATACCAAAGAACCGACGATCCCGCCAATCCCACCACCCATGATGAGCAAGGCGTTGCAAAACGAGCGTTTCCATTTCCCGCGGATATTATTGGCCTGCCAGGCCAAGTTCGTTGGAACATTCGCGTTGCTACCAGAGGTGACAAGAATTGCCCCAAAGTATTGCACCCCTGGAGACGCAACCCAACCCAGAAGCGCCAGACCAACGGTAGACAGAAGACAATTCGATATAACGAGAGGTCCACGGATGTGGTATCTGTCGCCAGACCAGGCGGTAAAGTGCATCCAGGTACCGGCCACAACATATGGGGGAGTAGACAATGCTTGTGCCGCGGTCACCCCAAACTTTAGTTTGGATACAAGAATAATAGGTAAGAAAAATGCAATGGAATAAGAAACACAAGTCGACAATCTGTTAATCAGACAGTCAGCAGTGAACTGGTCAAGTATAATATAGAAGAGAAAAAAGCTTACAAAAACATCATAGGGTAAGTAAAGACTTTCCAGTCTTTCGCGGGACGTAAGAAGTCACAAATATCAAATTTGACGTGTTCAGCGGCATCTGCTCGGTCAGTATTTATGTGGCGGATGATGAATGCCTCCTCTTCCTCTGTCAAAAACATCCAGCATTTGTGAGAGCCCTTGGGATACTCAACCAGCAATAGCCAACCGATGATGGCAGCAACGAAATTGAGGACCCCTTCCATTAAAAAGATGTATCTCCAACCGGCAAGTCCACTCAGTCCACCCATCTGCATGAAGCCACACGCCAGAACTGGTCCGAGGGCAGCTATGAGACAGCTTATGAAATAGCTGATTGAGAATCGCTTATGCACATCGTATCGGGTATACCAAGCAGCTAGCAATGGAAGGAGTGATGCATACAGACTCGATTCAAAGGCCCCGAGTAAGGCTCGAATAATCATGAGATGCCACCATTCTTTGACGAAGGCCGCGCCCTTTTCCAGTTAGCGACGGAGGAGAAACGTGTCTGCTATCTTACCGCCATCAGTACACCCCAGCACAATGTGACACCACAAGAGAAGTGTCTAGGGCTGATATTTTGCGCAATGGCATTGACTGGTAGTTGCACCAGCACATAAGGTACGAAAAATATCAAAAGCACAAGGGACTGCCATACTATCAGTATACAGCCACTGAACGAATAAGACCAACTGTACATATTTCGAGCCGTTCTCCAGACCAAGGTCCTCCGACATTCTGTAGATTCATCCTCGGTTAGTCGATTATATGCTCTAAGGAAGAATATAAAAATTAAGGGTGTATACCCAGCAATGGAAGTTGAACCAAGATTAGTCCTATCCATAAGACACATGCCCATGAGAAGCCCCAGCCCAGTCACAAGGCGACGGTCGACCTTGTGAATGATCTTTCTCTGTTCTTCCTTTGTAAACCCTTCGACATCTCTGGAATCTGTTGAGGTCGCAGCTCCCTGCTTAGCCTGGGCGCTATGAATATCTTCGATGAATTCGTCAACATTCTTAGATTCTTTATCTTTAGTATGCATGTTCCTTGCGTAAAGTTAAACAGGGTTGGTATCCGTGTCTGTCAGCACCGACACCTAGTCGCTTTTGACTCTGCAGACTCGGAGTGCGTTTTGGCAGTGGGAGGCGATGGGAGTGACTTTCAGGTCCGCGTTCAATGGGCTTTATGGAATGCTACCAATCCAGAGGAAGCGGGCGGGGTAATTCCTCAGAAAATCTGGGGAAGCTGCCTGGAGGCTGTGGGTCCGTTGGAATAGTCTTGAAACTCTGTGTATACTGAATAGTAGAGTTAAGGATCCCCTAGGGGGCATAGGCTTTTCATAAATTTGCCGACTACCGAGAACAAACTTTCCCTTGAAGTGTCTCCTAAATCTCCACTATGCAAATTTGCTAATGGGAGGAGTTATTTGATGACATTTATTATGTGTTATATCTTGTTCTAAGTATTCTATGGCTATGATGAACCGTATTGCTGTATTAATTATCTTTACATCTGATTACCAGTATTTCTTTCTCAGTCAATGATCTATCCTGCAGGCTACGGGTCCTTTCTCTCTTACTATATCTCCTGATCTTTAACAGATCCCTACATTGTTCGCCCCTAATTGCTCCCAGATCACGACTCCATAGTTCCAATGAATTAAACTTAAAGAGAATATGTTACATCCCTGATCTTGATCGAGTAAAAGAGATACCCTCTGGATTTGGCTCACAACATCAGCCTGGGGACTAGCAACGTTCTGAATAAGTTTAAGAGTCTATTATTCCAAGTACTATAGCTGGTTCTCTATGTTTTGGCGCCATTCAGCGGGCTTTTCTTCCACGTGTCGGTACTACCTACTCTGGCAAGGGTTTAGAGCGGCTAGAGCTTTCTTCTTATAGCTGGACAAGGTTCTTGCGGGCGAGGAGCTCTTCGAGATTAGAGACGTGATATCTAACCCTCTATAGGTTAGCATCCCTTTGGTCTGGTGTCATCAGATGTTGTGAAAATTGGGTTGCTTCCTCAGCTATTAAGTAAGCGTCAACGATACGATCTAGGAGACACAGAAAGGATAGTAGTGTAAGATTGCAGCAAGTCAAGCTATTGTTTACTTGGAGGGTAAACCCATTTTGGCTCCACATCTTTAAGCTTTCGGGGGCATCTCAACCTTTCGGCGCACCTGAGCCGAGCTTGACCGAACGGCTGAGCTCGGCACCCAAACCCCGCAAAAATGGGGATGCATAGTAATCGCCATCCAGAGAGATAGTTGACCACCGCATCAACAGCCAGGGGCAATGTTAGAGTCTATGGATCAGGTTCGGCATCGGCCTCATGAAGTGACATCATTCGTGACTGGAGGAGGGAATGTAGCTGACCAATTAGTTCCCCTCGAAGATGAAACGGCGACATGTACAAAGCTCAACGTCACGTCGCGGGCCATATTATCTCTCCTGCACTCCCTGGTGAATGCTGCGACATACCCTCCACGATAGCTAGCTCATAACCACATCGTGACTCTGTATCTTATCATCTACAATCAGCATCTCCACTAACCATGTCATCCGACATCACACTGTACACCTGGTCCACTGCAAATGGCATCAAGGCCTCCATAACCCTGGAAGAGCTTGGTCTACCCTACAAGGTTGAACCGATTGATATTGGAACCGGTGTTCAGAAGGAGGAGTACGGTTGTCCTCGGCATCCGCATCTCAGAAGCCGTCCTGCTAACGAACGATCGAAATATAGGTGGTTCTTGGAGATTAACCCCAATGGCCGTATCCCGGCACTCATCGACCGTTCCCAGCGTGTTTTCGAGAGTGGCTCTATCATGCTGTATCTTGCCGAGAAGTATGACACGGAACGCAAGATCAGCTATGCACCGGGCACTCCCGAGTACGTTGAGCAGGTGTCCTGGCTAATGTTCCAGATAGGTGGCATTGGTCCCATGCAGGGTATGTTTGAAAAACGGCAGTAGGTTTCTCGGGGGCTTATGTGATTGTCATTACTCTAGGTCAGGCAAACCACTTCCGACTTGTTGCCCATGTCCGCTCCGACTATGCTATCAAGAGATTCATGGATGAGACCAAGCGTCTTTACTCGGTCCTGGAATCCCGGCTGAAGGAAAGCCCGTATCTTGCCGGCTCAAAGTATACAATTGCCGACATCGCCAGCTATACGTGGGTCCGCCGAGGTCCTGCGCTGCTGGAGATTGATCTCTCTGAGTTTCCGGCTGTCAAGAGGTGGGCCGATGAGATCGGCAAGCGGGCGGCGGTGCAGAAGGGCGCCGACGTACCTCATGTTGACCGTACGAACGAGCAAATGGGGCTCTTCCAAAGCGCCCGCGCTAAGATTGATGCCATGATCAACTCTGATACACATTGAGCGATAAGGATGTATTATTTCTTTGTCTTACTCTTTTTTTATATACGGCGGTGTGTCTGTTTCACTACCACAAATGAAACACAATCAGTTCATTATGACTCGCCTTGATTTGGTAGTGATCCAAGAACAACTGTAATGGTGTAAATGTTCGCCAAGGCAGAAAAGGCGAAGACAAACTGATTTGTGAAACGGGTGTCTAGCTAGGAATGCAATTATTTTACCTACAGGTAGAGTGTGCTACTCTCGTGGACCGAATGCATGGTATCAAAGTCGTGTATCGTCACCGGGACTGACAATCAGAACCTGTTCATAAAGCTAACAAAGGAAAAATCAAAATGGTATTGACACGTTTGATGTTTGAATGCATGCCATAGTCAAAATGAATTTCTACCCTAGCGTGCGTGGAAGCAGAGAGGGGGGTGAGGTCTATATCACATTAGGGTCATGTATGTACATGTCTTCGGGATGCCACTAGTTGTACTGACTTGTTGCTGTCTGGGACGTCTGAGTTCTTCTGACGCAAGCTTTCAAGAGCCGGCGGGATGAAAGGAATTACCATGCCGGAGATGAGGTAAGATATGGCAATAGCACGAGCCGTGCGACTATGGTGACGCGGTCGATGGGCGGAGAAATGCCGGACAGAAGGGTGGGCGAGCTGAGCAGTCATCATGATAGCCATGGTAGCTCGTGGTGGATAGTAGAGTGAGGCGAAGGTTCTCGTAGAGCTGTTTTAAGTGTAGCTCTGTCGCGTGAGGTAAATTATGATAGTCATATTTGACTTTGACAGAGGTGTGCAAGAACATACTCAAAGCTAAGGATTTATACAAAAAGTACACGCCCTTAGCATTGTGGGTGCCTCCCTTTGCATCCGTTACTATACTGCATCCACCCCCACAAAGTACGCACCCCGGATATCAGATACTAACGAAAGATCCGGCTATCGGCCCAAAGAACGACGTTGTTAGCCGACGGCCGCATCCCTTGGCGAAGGGAGAAGGCAGTCGATGGCAGTCATAGAATCACCGGCATGATGCCATCCGATCTACCCGCTGTGATGGCTAGTCGAAGCATTATTCAATATTCTTTGATCCGGGGACAGAGAAATCAATTATGTCTCATATTTCCAGCCTTCCAAGCTGGACCACGGAGACGAAATTGAATGCGCCGCCCCACAGGTTTTCCTTAATTTTTTTTCACATACGATCTGTAGCAGTTTAGCAGGAATGGCTCTAATATAGTATCGATAAGCTCTTCCCCGATTCCACTGAAACCCAGCTGATCCTGGTCATGCTGAGCGCCCCCCTTCCTATTAATTTTTCTATGATGGACACAATTTACTACGAAAGTCCATCAGCTCATCATGCTCTCACGCGACCTCATTGAGTCAATAGGTGGCCTGGTGATCTGGTTGGCCGTAAACCCCAAAGTGTGAGCAACTCGCGGATTGGGGGAGTCACTCGGGGTTCTGAAGCAAACACTGTGAGACGTTTGACTATTATAAGGGTCTGATATGATTCCTAGACTAAGTCTATATGGTGAAACGCCACTTTTTCAAATATACGTAGAGAGGCAGGCAAAACTCCCCTACTGCGGTTGTTAGACGGTCTGCGGCATCAGGTGGCAATGACAAAGGAAATATTACGAACGACCGTTTCGTTGTTTCTTCATCTCCAAGGTTCATTTTCTACATAATATCAAGCCTTTGAATATTACAACGGCTCAGGCTACGTATACACTACTTTGAATCATAGAAGTCAAGCACAATGGCATTCGGGCTCGATGAGAAAATCGTTCAGAAACGCAGCGTGATATGAAACAAAAATGACCGTCCACATACTCGGTGCAATGATTTACTAAAGTAGCCAACCACAGGCAATGTTTAACGATTGTGTTGATAGCGGATGACTGGCAGTGGTTGCTTTATTCTCCTTTCTCCAGGGCAGCTTTCTCGCGTGCTTCTTTCTCCAGCGCTTCCCGTCGTCCAGTGCTCGCTGGGTCATAAAACGGCACTTCTCCCAGGCTGACAGCGCGGTGGCCAGCCCGTGGACCAATTTCTTCATAGTCCCAGGTCGCTGCGTGATATGTGGATCGGTTATCCCAGATCGCTATCAAAGATGTCAGCTATAAGTCGCCTGCAACAACATCAGTACCGGGAGACATACCGAGGTCATTCGGGCTTTCCCACCGGTGGCGCACTTGCAGATCATGATTCTCCATGATCAAGTTCACAAACCAGTCAGTGAGATGCTTGCTCTCCTCGTCACTCAGTCCGTTAATTTTCTCCACATGGGTGCCGACAGCGAAGACACTCTTCCATCCTGTAACAGGGTTGGTGCGGATCAGCGGGTGCACCGCACGCAGTTCTTCTCCGACATTCTCAGGAGCACCACGCGGGCCCTTGAAAACCTCAAAGCCGCTATCCTTCGCAAATTGGTTGAATTGAGGCTGCGAAAACGTTACATCCAACCCTTCCAGGAATTTCTGGTAAGGTGGAGAGAGGCGGTCATATAACTCGTACCCGGAAGCCCACAGAGTGTCTGGCTATGTGCATGAGCCCTCTGGCATGACCAGAAAGAAGGAGGATCAATGCTTACCTCCGCCAGTCCGGGGGAGAACGGTCAACCGCAAGATTGTATAGTCGCTCGGAATGGGCTCGAAAGTAATGTCGCTGTGCCACTCTTTTCTGGCGGTCTGGTGGCGGATCACACGGGATTTGTATAGCTTTTTACCCTCCATGGAGTTGATCACGCTGATTTCATCATCCTTGACACTTATCTCCCGGCGTGAGTTGGCCACGGGGTGGATATGGAGTCCGGAAGTCTTCGGCTTTCCCGAGAGCTCACCAAGTCGCTGAGCTAGTTCCTTTTGCAAAGCGTCTGTGAGGCCATCCTGCTTGCGGAAGAAGACCACTCCTCGCTGGGAAACTAGAGCAAGGTTACTAGTCTAGAATTATCGTCCAGAGAAGAGGACTAACTGGTAATAGCAAGATCTCGGAGCAATGCATCAGAGTTCGGAGCACACAGAAAGTCCTTCAGGTTTGCGTTGGGGTATTCGCGTCCAATGACTGGAGTGACATCAAACGACTCAAAAGCATCCAGGGCACCGCTTAGTTTCATAGGTACTCGTCCAAGGCCTTTTCCCGAAGGGACTGCGGTCTCGGTGGAGATAGAGGGAGCCATAATGGTAGAGAAGGAATATACTCGTAGTTCAGAGAATTTAGAATCTTGAGAGTCAGTAGTAGCTCCCAAAGCAGAGCAAAAACGCTCAATTTATACCCCAGGTCCTCCGGCAGCTCTACCCCGTTGGTTCGGCTATATTGTCCTGGTCATGTTCGACCGTAACCCCGCTTAGATGAATACACCCATGTTGCATATTGCCTCTAGGGCACAATCCATTATGTCAATTGATGACGTGGGATAATAATTGTGCATGATCTATGAAATATGGCTGGGGTTCGCAATGCGCTACATGTAACATAGGCTCATAAGCATCGGCTGTCATTGCCGAAGTCACGTTCAACGGCATAACACGATACAGATGTTTGTATGGGATGTGTCAATCTAACCTATATGCACTACTAAATGCCTCTCCTTGCACTGTCCATGCCATTTATTAACCGAATCGGACCTCTTACGTTTGTACAAGTCCAAGGATACGATACAGCACAGGGGGAATCTGTTAGAAGTCTAGAATGCCATATGCCTGAATGGCAAGATTATGTACATTTTGGACGACATTGATAACTCTCAGATAGCTTAGTAGAATATCTTCTCTCAATATACCAAACAGAGGTGGTTCTTGCCCTGAACGTTCGTGAAATGAACCTTCTCCTTCTAAGACATAGAGCCCTGCCTCTCCTCCCATATCACAAGTCCAAGTAGATCTTGGTAACCCGGTAAATAAAAAGATTGTCGACCTGAATACCACCAGAACCTGATTATCTCATCAACAGGGGGAGCATCATCTACACTGGATTGGAAAGGGTACTCAGCCCTGAAGAACATAGCGCCTGCCGAGAGTTCAACAGAAGAGGGGTTTTGCCTACTATACACCAATAGCAGCCTAAGATGATAAGACGATACTCTCGGTAGGTTGAAAGCTAACACGGTTCACACAGTTGCCGGAAGACCACTGGATCGTCGCCATACGATCAGGCGCTAAGGGGTTCGGTACAAGGACTAAGTTGATGAAATCTGGACATATCTGCCTGTCCATATCCAGCCCCGACATCCGACACATACCGAGAGAGAGCATATCGTGAAAGATCGCGAGTGATTAATTGTTACCTCAGTCAGCGCTCTGCCGCCGTCATGCCGAAAGCCGAAGCCTCGCCGAGACAGTGCCGGCTTTCCCAGGGCCAGACGGGAAAAAAAAAAAGGTTGGTCAGACAATTGCCTTGCCAAGAGCCTCTATAGATCGAAAAGTTCCGGCAAATTATGAAAGTTTAAGCACTATCCTATGTTCAGTATGTGGGGGGAGGGGGGGGACTTTTGTCCAACGCCAGAGCTGGTTCTGAACTACATTACGGATGATAAAGTCGAAAGCATAGACTATAAAAGATACCACATAGGACCCTGGTTTCTGTGATCAGTAATTAGGAAGCGACAAAAAAAAAAAAAAAACAAAATGTCTCAGGGATTAATCTTCATAACGGGGGCCTCTGGCTTTATTGGCAGCGCCACTTCTGTGGAAGCTCTAAACGCTGGATATCGACTACGAGTTTGCCTTCGTAGGCCCTCGCCTCAATTGCAGACCCTACTCTCAAAGTATGGAAATCAGGTGGAATTTGTGTTCATTTCAGATCTGACGGATGAAATGGCGTTCAGCGACAAGCTGGACGGGGTGGACTTTGTGCTCCACCTTGCCTCCCCTCTTCCTCATGGCACCGACAAGGAAACATACTTCACTCCTGCGGTGAAAGGCACTACTGCCTTGCTGAAAGCGGCAAGCAAGGTACCAAGCATTAGGAAGGTCGTCGTTACTTCATCCATGGCTGCTTTGGTTCCATTGACTGGTGTTCCAGAGGGTGGAGTAATCCAAGGTAAAGCATAGTCTTTCTTTAATTTCCGGCCCGGTATCGTATTAACACTTTTTTTTTCTTTTATTTAGAAAACAGTGATTGGGATCTATCGGTCGATGAAAATGGAAGCTTCGAAGACCCTACAAATCCGGCTGCAACACCCATGATACTCTATATGGCTTCCAAGCTGCTTTCCAACGCGGCAACCTGGGACTTTTGGAAAACAGCTAAGCCGAAGTACGCCTTAGTTACGCTGCACCCAGCATTTGTGTATGGCCACAATCTGATGCAGACATGTGCCGATGGAGTTAAGGGAGGGTCCAACGGGGCTCTTTGGGGATTTATCATGGCAGGCACTCCGACTGGATTTTTGACGGCAGTGCATGTCCAGGATGTCGCTGAAGCGCATGTGCGAGCGCTGGACCTGAGAATAGTGGATGGCTCGAAGTATTTGCTAGCTGGGCGAAGTACTACCGTACCGGAGATTGCGCGGTTTATTCAAAAGCGCTACCCAGATTCTGGAGCAGCTATCACCGAGGATGCGCCTAGTATGTTGAGCCCAGTTAATACAGAAAAAGCAGAGAGAGAGCTTGGTATGAAATGGCGCCCATTTGAGGCTATCCTAGAAGATGTTATGGATCAACAGCTTGGCTTTTGCC